GTGTATGTATGCTCAGGCTTCTGGAAGGCATCTTCTGGTAATCTGTCAGCAAATTCAGAACTTATGTGTGTGTTGGTTGAAAGATAGTCAGCAGAGGATAAACAGAAATTATGAGACCTGACTTATTGAACAAAGTTGATACAAATGAAGTTGATCAAGTCTATGGTGGACTCCTCAGGTTTGTCTGAATAGGAGTCAAAAAAGGCAAATGCACTTTTAAGAACAGTCACACTGGAAAAGGGACAGAGAGGTAAACAGGGTGTCCTGGGGCGACTTTCTCAACCCTTTGGTGCATCTCTCTTCAGTATCATGTGCAGGACACAGAACTGATGAAGAAAACTGGGACTGCTTGGAGGAGGGTCAGTGAAACAGCTTCTGTACAACATGTAGAAACATCAGGTAGAGCTCAGCAAACTGAGAAATAGGTGTCTGAAGGGAGGTGATTGTAAAGTCCTAAAAGGCATGGAAAAGATGACCAGCAAATGACAGTTCTTTGTAAATATAAGCATAAAATCAAAAGAGATTTGTAGCTGCTCTGTTCCAAAAGGGATGAAGAGGTGCTTGTCTCATAAAATGTAGGTCTTTGTGCTGTAGGAGGCTCCGTTCACACAGATGCAGAACATGAATGTACAACATGGTGGAAGAAAAATCCACCCAAAGGTTATCAGGTACAAAACCTCTGGCCCAGGAAGCCACTGAGCTGTAAAATGGGTGAGAATGTTCAGGGGAAGTACCACAGTCCCTGTGCTCCTATTGCAGGTATTTGCTTGGCCACAGTCTGAAACAGCTCCCAGGCAGGTGAGCTGCCAGCCTGGTCTAATACAGCTGTATTTATGGTACAGCTTTATGATCCTCCCATGAAAGTGGAAACCACATGACCCAGAATATTTAGCCTGGATAAAGTATAGGATGCTGCATGGCTGGGAATGGCCTTACCAGGAATAATGGGAGGGTGAGCTAGAGGGCAGCTTGCAAGTCCTTTCTGATAATAGGTGTTTTAATTAAAAGGAACTGCAATTCAACGTGAAGTCTGTGACAGAGAGAAAATAAAAGAAGGGGAAATTACGGAAAGAAACATCTGAAGACAGCAGTTTGCACAATGCTGTCCCCACAGGCTTCCACCAGCTGCTGACAGTGTATCCAAGCCACAAGGTCAACAGTTCTTTCATAAACTCTTGGTTCCAGGATATGATACACCTACCCTTGGCACATGCAGTTGGCCTGGCTGAAGCAGGGTCTTTTAGGTCTTTCTGGATTGAGTCCTGGCTATGTATGTTTCTATCTTTAGTTACAAAACACAGTGACACATTTTTAACTGTAAAGCCTTTAGCTAATCGTTGATAGACCGGTGAATATATAATAGTTCTGGGGTTATTCAGAGTCTACAACTTCCTCTTTCAAAGTTTAGTGCTTATATATTCCTTGTCTGTTTAAACTGTATTTTCACCCTGTAAAGAGCAGAACTTGTGAGATACAAAGATGTGATCCTGGGACTTTCTTGCTCTCTAAAAAAGGAACATGTTCTGCTGGTTCATTTCACAAGCTGCCCCTCAGAAATTTAGATTTTAAGAAAAGCTTTGTTGTTTTCTGGAAAGAAAAAAAAAAAATACAGGCTTTGTTTTTTCTGTTGTTCCTGTTGCCTTTCCATTCGGAATTTTAATCAGGTCATGTGCTTTTAGTGCATGAACTGATACACATTTTGTACCCACTAGCTACAGTTGCAGAGCTGAAGCTGTTACACTCTGCCTGGGGAAAGACAACATTAATTGCAGATCAGTGCTCTTATATGAATTAACAGTCAGACAGACATTTCAAGTCACACATGAAATCGTTTATAACCTGAATCCTCAGGTATAGTGTGTGTGACCAAGGGAAAGATCCTATCAAACTAATCCTACAAAACCCCTCTAAAAGCCAGGGGTATGTATTATTTTTAAGAAACCTAATGACAGGAGGGAAGGCCAAGGAACAGACTAATCGATATCAATGTTATGAAATTAAACAAACAAAAAATTTCATTCAGGGAATCCAGAAGTTTCTCCACCATTCATCTTGCTGACCCTAAGGCCAGTGAGCCTCCTGCTGCTGCTGCAGCTGACCAGGAGAGGCAGGACTTGAACTGAACAATCTTTGACATAGCTCTTGCAAGATTGTCTCCTGGTGTGTATAGCAACTGCAGTCAAAACAAGAGCAAGGTCTCCTGTCTGTGCAGGTAACAGTCAACCCAGCAGTGATACTCAGGATATCCTGGTGTCCTTCAGAAGGATGCAGGAGTGCTGCATGAGTGTCATACTGAGCTGGAGTGAGGAGAAACGTGGCATTAGGCTCAGTGTAAGGACAAACCTGATCTGGACACCAAAGCTGCAGCTGTCACCCTGTGGTAGGTGCCAGAGCCTGCAGAGGAATGTGAGCTGCCCTGCTGAGAACCTGCACTGCTGACAGATAAAATCTCTGGTACCAACTGGACCGAGATTGAAACCCCTGTGCAGATGAGGCCAGAGTGAGGTGAGGCAGTACAGCAGATCACTGTGGATCTGCAGAGCCTGTCACCCATTCTGACCTCAGAGCTGCTTCTGCTCTGTTCTCACCGTCCCCCCAGGGAGCTGGACAAGGAGCACCTTCCTGGGTACCCCTCAGGAATGAGGGGAATGAGAGGGGAGCAGTCTCCTATTTCCTTCCCCAGCAGGCAATGCCCCAGCTCTCCACAGCAAAGTGCCAGCACAGAACACCTTTTGCTGTGTCCATCAGAGGGTGAGATCTTCCAGGGACAGGTCCTGGTTCTTTGGTGAGATAATTCCAGCTGCATACCTTATTGGTGAGCTCCAAAAGAGGGGCAACAGGGATGAGGAAGACAGAAAAAAGTCCTGCCTCCTCTATCTCACCCATTATTCAAAGACAGAATACTGTGGCAATATTCTGATATCCTTCCATCAACATCACACAGCTGAAAAGGTATTGTTGGTCACATCCTTTGTAGTACTACAATAATTTTTCCAGACTCTCTCAGGCTGGCATTGAAACAGGCAGTGGGAGGAGGGTATCAGTGGCTCTGGGGATTTTAGCTTGAGCTAGGAGGATCCCAAAAGGAAACAGCGAAAAATGAGACAATTTAGCAAAACTGACAGGAATTAATGAAGTGATTCTGTTCCCCTGTCCCTGTGTTTCCAGGTGAGAAGGATTCATCAAAACAATATTGTCTGTTCTGTCTGTGGGGTGAAGAGGACTCTTCCTGCCCAGATAAATTGATTTAGTTTTGGCTTCTCTTATATTTTGCCATCCAGAGTTGTATGTTTAGGCACTCACAGGTGGGGGAGAGAGAGAGAGAGAGAGAGAGAGAGAGAGAGACTGAGCTTACAAGCTGTCGCTGTCACAGGCAGTAGAAGCACAGCAGCAACTACACTGCTGGGGTCTAGGAGCAGCTGACAGACAGGTACCCTCAGAGTCACCTTATTTTTCCATGGATGAGCTTGGGGAGAAATCTGAGAAGTGCCTAAAACCAACAATTATTTTTTGAACAGAAATATTGTATGTATGAATTGTATCACAGTTGCCAGGACAGGCTTTCTTTCATGCTGCAGTTTCTTAGGTCTACCTGTCAGGCTATCTAGATCATGAACTTTACAACTGCAGTTGTCCCTGGGATTAGGGACATGCAGCATACTGGTTGAGAGCCAGCTGAACATGAGCCAGCTGTGCCCAGGTGGCCAAGGAGGCCAGTGGCACCTGGCACTATCAGCAATAGCGTGGCAGCAGGAGCAGGGCAGGGATTGTTCCCCCATATACATCATTGGTGAGGCCACACCTTGATTGATGCGTCCAGTTCTGGGCCCTTCACCACAAGACAGACATTGAGGTGTGGGAGCACATCCAGAGGAGGTGAACAGAGCAGGCGAAGGGTCTGGAAAACAAGTCTGATGAGGAGCAGCTGAGGGAAGAAGAGGTCTGTTTAGCTGGAGAAAAGGAGGCTTAGGGGGACCTTATCACTCTCTATAACTCCCTAAAAGGAGGCTGTGGCAAGGAGGAGGTTGGTCTTTTCTCACAGATAACAAGTGACATGATGAGAGGAAATGGCCTTAAGTTTTGCCAGAGAAGGCTTAGATTGAATATTAGAAAAAATTTCTTCACTGAAAGGGTGGTCAGGCATTGGAATGGGCTGTCAAGGAAAGGAGTTAAGTCACCATTCCTGGAAGTGTTCAAAAAACATGTGGAGATGGCACCTGGGGACATGGTATGGTGGTGAATAGAGCCGTGCTGGGTTAATGGTTGGATTTGATGATCTTGGAGGTATTTTCAGCCTTAACGATTTTATTATTCTATATAACACTTAAAGGCATGAGGTGAAAATTACAGGGAAGAACTCCTGGGAACAGGCAGAATGTGATTACTTTCAACTATGCAACCATGAGACAGACGCCAAAAAAAGTGCTAAGAATTCTTCAGGTCTGCCATGGCAAATGAGCTTGATTTGTTGCTGTTTTCTTACTGAAGTGCAGTGGGCTTGGGTTTTTTCAATCCAGAGTCAAGTCTGAGTTGTTTCTCAAGCACTCCTGTTTCTGAGTGATCAATCATTCAGAGACTAGAGATACCAACAGAGAGCATTCATGCAGTTGTTGCAAGAGCAAGGTGAGAGCGATGCATGGATGACTGAAACAGATGAGAGGCTGCTGCCACTTTCCTGGTCCTAACAAAGAGCTCTGGGCTTGCAGAAGTGACTCAGAGGAGCAAAGAGGAAAGCTAAATGGAAGATGGGGTAGCATCAGTAAATGTTACAGATGGGTTGCCAGCCACCCAGAGGGCCACGAGACCCTGCGTTGTCTACGAGGTTTGTACAGGCTCTGTGTGTTCATGAGACAGAAAATCTTCTACTGCTGCAATTAAAAGATTTGAAGAGATTAAGATTTGTAGTAGTGATTCTTCCCAGTTCTGTCCCTGTAGCAGACGTGTGCTGTGGTAGGGTTGTAACACACAGGCATTCACAGTGTCTCTCCGTCTCTCTCTAGGTTCTCAAGCATCTGCGACACTTAAATTTCACCAATAACATGGGGGAGCAAGTGGATTTTGATGAGTTTGGGGACCTGGTAGGAAATTACTCAATAATCAATTGGCATCTGTCTCCAGAGGATGGCTCAGTCATCTTTGAAGAGGTTGGGCACTACAACGTTTATGCCAAGAAAGGGGAGAGGCTTTTTATCAATGAAAACAAGATCCTGTGGGGTGGATTCTCTAAGGAGGTAAGTGCTTAAATCCTCACAGCAATGTTTTCCAGATCCACAACCTGAAATCTGAACTAGCCCTGCACACTCCTCATATGTCTCATGATAGGATCCATTCACCTTACTGTATACACATTCTCCTCCATAGTCTTTCTTACCCTTCTTATACACTGAAATAACAGACAATGTCTCCTCCTCTTCTGTACATTTGTTCACCCTGGTTATTAACGTTTTAAATTATATCCTTTTTTCCTGGCCCAAGCAGATACAATAGAATTTTATAGCAGTGTTTCAAAAGGGATGAAAAATTCATCACCCAAGTCCGATTGTTGACTAAATATTTCCTGAGCTCGGTAGTTTCATTGCTGAAAAGAGCCATCTCTTTCATTCCCATTAGCTCTGTATCAAGAAGTGTCTCTTCGTGCTCTTAGTTATATTTACAACTCTTTCTCCTAGCTTCACCCACCAAGTCCCAGAGCCTTCCTCACCCCCTTACCTTGCAAACCAACAGAACAAGCCCTGTCAATCTGCCTGGGTTAACTTGGACATGGTGCTCAAATATTGGAAGATGCCAGCATTTGCTACCTTTTTTTTGTATTCTCCTTGAGGATGCTTCCACAGCCTCAGAAGCAGTGATCTCAAGAGGTATCAGTTGACTTCAGTCAGGCCTAAGTCCTTCTCCACTCTCTTGCATATGTTTAATCTTTTCAGCATAATTATTGTCACTAGCAGCCAGGCTGTGTCTGACCCACAGGATGGGAACATGGTGCAGACATCTCCAGACCAGAGCCAAATGAACTGCTGTTATAGCTGGCAGCAGCCAGCTAGGCAGAAACTCTGACTCCCAGAGGGAATACTGTGTGGGCATATGGTTTGTGGTCTGGGAATTGACACAGGGAGTAGAGAATTAGCTCAGAAATGTCACTGCCAGACCCTGCTGGGATGTTTCAATGTGTTAAGCCAGCACCTGATTAATGAAAGAGGAAATTCACTTCCAGGTGATTATTCACATTGGCTGGCAGATCAGGTAATGCTTCTGCCTTAGCGGCAGTTACAGCATGAGTTCAACCTTTCCTTTACTCCAACTACACTTCTGGTTCAAGTCCAGAGCACTCTGAAGGAGGCATGAATGGAACAGAGCATACTACCAAAGAAATACTGAGCTCAGAGCTTTTCTAAGTCCACCTGGGGTCTCTAAGCATAAACTACAAGTGGAACTTAAAAAACCCTGATATTATAATCCCTCCTTCAGATTGTTGCAAACGCATCTTGCACTTTTTCCAACAGTTAGGATTTATTGGTTTTTACTTAAACTGAGTGATTGTGTTCTCTTGGTCTAAATTTCTCTGGCAGTACAATATTTATTCATTCTCTGTTCTAAACTGTTAAAAATGTGACAGGATGTTGCTGAGAGTAATGCCAAGGTATGTAAATTTTGTGCAGTGGAGGGGTTTGCAATCTCTGTGTCTGCTGCAGCCCCTTTTTTCCAGTTTATATACTTCCAATTTCTTTCAGATAAAAGGCTGTGTTCAAAAAGAGTAGCCAGTACTTCACTCACTGTACCTCTTATCATCCCCAACAAAAGTTTAAATGTAGGTAATTTTAACATTCAGGAACCTGAGCATTGGGCAGACTTGCAAAAGAATCAGTTAAAGAGTAGGTAAGATAGATAGATAGATTCCTTTTGGCAGAACCTGATGAATTTCCCCACAGAATACTTAAGAATTCAGCCAAAGCAATCACAACTGTACAAGCAATTCATCTTCAAGAAATGTGGAGGATGCATGATGTCTCAAAGGATCAGAGAGCAATCGTAATACCTGGTTTTAAAGCAGTTATTGGAGAACCAAGGGAATTACACACAATTGAGTTGAGCTTCAGTAACCTAAAAGACTTGATAAAAAAAAAATTAAACCGTTTATAAACACTTAAAGGATAAAAAACTGATAAGAACAAGCCAACGTGTATTTGTCAAGATAAAATCATGCCAAACCAATTGAATTTTCCTCCTTGGAAGCTCAATCACTTTGTAGATAATGGGGAAGCAGTGTGTGATTTCAGCCAGGCCTTTGATCCAGCTCTGTTCAAAATCACTGGTGGCAGCCTGGGGGAAAGACAGCCTAGACTGATGGAGTCCTCTTGATGGATGCACTGTCTGCTCAAAGAGTGTCCCAAGGAATAGGAGCACTGTGTTTATAGAAATAGGCACTAACAGCAGAGTGCTTCAAGCCAGGAGCTGCAGCACAGCTGCAGAAATATACATGCCCTGTGTATATTTCTGTCCTATCAACGATGTAATCCTGATGAACAGCTTAGGAACAGCATTCCCAAACTGTGCTGCAGCTGCACTTCAGAGTGACAGGTAACAGAGACTGCCCTCACCAGAGCCACAGAGTCATCTCTGCATAGCAATTGTCATTAGTGAGGGCTTTGCTTCCCTGTGGCTAAGGCATCAAGCCTGCACATAGGCAACTTCCAAACCGTAGCCAGGACTCATTGCATAAGTGCATCAACGCAGGATGTTCCTGGAGATCAGCAGGTTGGCAGCACTTGGGTAAACTAGCACCAAACTTCCAAAAAGATGAATGGAGGCTCCCAAACAGAACAGCCATTGACTATGTAAGAATCATGTTACTTTGCTAGCAGTGTAAATTGTAGGTTTAACTCTCCTGAGCTGAGAAAGTCATGTTTTGTGTCAACTCTCTTTCTTTAATTTAGTCGGAAAGAGGTGAGTTCAACCTCAGGTCATGACTGTGTGACAAAGGCCCAGGCTTCCATTTATCATGCTGAAGTCTTTGTGTCAGTGTACTTCAGGCATGCAGTGAATGTGTCCATGCAACCATTTGCTGCCAGAACACAACAATGCTCAGGTGGGCTCAGGCACAGCAGAAATGCACAGCCAGCAGGTGACATCATTTACAGCAGCAGAGGTCTGCGAACCTTTGGATCTGTAAAGCACTACTGATTTACGTCTTTAGATGTTCAGTGTTCTTAAAGAAGAAGCGAGTTTCAGAAAACTTTTTTTTAAATAATTCACACAAATTATAGCAGACATTATGCAATATGTTGGATTGGGGATCAGATGTCAGGACCCATCATCTCCAAGGCTGACTCAAATTCCTGCCAGTAGAGATTGATTGTATTTTCTTCTAAGCATCTAATGGCTATTTTGGTGTATGTGTATCATGGTCACATTCCAGTTTGCAATGCCCACAGCACAGTAGAGATTACAAAGGTCTGCTGATCTTCCTTACTGTCCCTCGATGTGTTCCTTCAGAGAAATCTCACTGCAGTGGGTTGGGGAAGGACTATTGTGCAAAATGTGTCTGTTCTGTGGGTGGAAGAGGTGAGCATTTGGGGCTGTTCACCCAGAATGCCAACCAAGCAATAGTACTCTTGGTGGAAAAAGGCACTGGCACCATTAACCTGCTCGGGCTCTTTTCTTGCAGGTGCCTTTCTCCAACTGCAGCAGGGACTGCCTGCCGGGCACGAGGAAGGGCATCATTGAGGGGGAGCCCACCTGCTGCTTCGAGTGCGTGGACTGCCCCGATGGGGAGTACAGTGACGAGACAGGTAATGCCCACAGAGCTGCTCGGGGCCTCCGGGCATCCCCCGCAATCCTGCTGAAATCGCTTCCCTGCAGGCCTGGCCTGGTGCCTGCCTTGCCAGGAGGCTTCACAGAAAGTCTGAGGGACCTCTGGAAACTTACAGGAGTAGAGTCCTGTGGTCCTCAGTTCCTCTGCTGCAAAGCCTGCTTGTCCCTTCTGCTCTGCGTTAGGAAAATTAAGGCAGAGAACTTGAAAAACAACTTGCATATAGAAAGCCTCTCAGGCAGCCACTGAAGCAAACTCTATTGCACTGTAGCAGTAGCTTTTCTTCCTCCAAAAACCTGGAGGAGGGAGGGATTCCCCATCCTAAATTCTGCAGTTATCTGTCTGCTGCCATGTCTTCCTCAAACTGTCAGGGTTTTATTTCATGCTTTACAAAGAAATAAAATCCATTACATCCCAGATTTCACAAGCAGAGAGAAATATTTTCCTTTATGGACTCACCAACTACAGGTTCTGTTGATCACTGGCACTACAAAAGATCACAATCCGTGGATCCTACTAACACCCATGGACATTGTTTTTGTTTGTTTCATTGGGAGCTTGAATCAAGCTACTCAGGTCCTAGAAGAGACAGAAAAGGTAAACTCAGGTCTAGAATGCTTGAAAACTTTTGAATTTCCAACACCACTAGTGCTCCCTCAGTTTTGGGCATCCCCAGGCTAATGAAGGCAAGTAAATTCCTTTAAGATATCAGATCTCTCTGCACTGTAAGGCACTTGGGACCTCCTCACACCCTCTCTGGTGCACTGGTCCCAGCAAACACTGCAGACCTTACTGGAAATTAACAATTCAGTAAACTGCTTGCAAAACTGAACAAGTGTTCTTTGGGAGATTCTAATTGGTGTCCTATCAGACAGGAATGATATTTTTTTAGCATAACCATATAGTACTACAGAATGCTTGGAAGCAGCATGTTCAGATTAAATAGAAACAATTCTGGTCATGTGTAATAGAGATCTTCTGGAGTTTTTCACATAATTTTGGGAGTTAGTTCTGGTGTGGGGGTGAAATTTATGGGGCTGAGGTGGCAACTGTCTTCTGACTCTACAGTTTCCTGCTGCAATTTCAGCTAACAATAATAGTCTTTATTTCCCATGCTTGCCAGTTTTATAGGCATAGAGAGCAGCTTTACAACTAGTTCCATCCAGCTGAGACAGTGATGCTACCAGAGGAAACAACCTCTCCTTTCCCAGCTGTTTCCTCCCACACTTTTTCTGGGAGCAGTGCTGGTACTTGTGCAACCATGGAGTGACTTGGTCTTTGGTCTTCCTGAAAACAAGCTCTTGGGAGGCTGAGTTTCCAGCTGGAATGAGAAGCTGCATGCCCTCAAGTGTTAACAACACAAAGGAGGGGGAAAGAATGAGGAGCCTTGCAGGAGGAGGGAGACTTGGTTTACTCCCTTCAGTGGCAGCATGGTCTCTAAGCCACCACAAGACAGCAGTGAAAGTGTGTCTGTAGGGTGCAGTGCTAAATAGCTGTCTCTGGCAGAGCCTGCTGGATTCCTGCTACACAAAATTAACATTGCTTTGTCTCCAGATTGCAGTTTGTAATGAACTTCCAGGTAAAAGGCACAAGAAAAATAAGAATTATTGGCTGAATGGATGTGAATGAAATGACATAGTGATGACAGCTTCTGACTGAGCTTTTGCATCTAGTGCTAGATTTTCAAATAAATATCCTAGGTGATGCAGAAAGTCCTTAGGAAAGTAGTGTCATATGAGGTCATGGATGGTGTCTCCAACCACACCTCAAGAACAAGAGAGCTTGAAAACCTTTGGCTTCATTAGCTGGGCATTCCTGACTTTCTCATTAGCGTCAATCTCTGCTCTGGAAGCTGTGGTCAGAGTCTGTGTCTGTGCTCAGGTGCAAAACTCAGGGGGTGCTTGCTGTTAAAGGAGTTTGTGGACTCTCTGCAGCCCCTTGCTATCCTGCTGGGATCCCAAAAGCAGAGGTAGGTTGACACCTCCAACTCTCTGCTCGCAACCCCTTTCTACTGCCATCAAAAGAGTTGTGACCCGCCCTGCTAGAGCACAAGACCCATTTGAGTCAAAGAAGAAGAGCAGAAGCAACAGGTCCTTGCTTTTTGATCATGCAAGCTATTGGCATGACCAGGCTATCGCAGCAGGCCCAACTACTTTCATGAAGGAGATGGAGGCACTGATTTTCCCTTTGCAAGTATTAGTGAGACATTTTCTGGGTGTAGGGAGAGTGATACTATTAAGACACATCTTTCTCAGGCATTCCAACATGAAATGAGAATGTGCAGGAAGTCAAGGGCATTGCCTGCCTTTAGGGAAGAGCAATTTAGACAGTAAGACTTGACTCCATGGAATATGAAATAGGCTCTCAAAGCATTTAAGGAGGCAAGCACGTTTTTAATTTTCTCTGTAATAGAAAAAGGCAGGATATTCAAATGATGATAAAAGTGTGAGAGGTATGAAGACAGACAGAAGTAGAAGATAAAAGTGAAGGAACAAGGAAAAGGGAAAACCAGAGACTGTGTAAGAGCTGATGGCAATCGAAGTTTGCCAAGTTTTGCCAAGAAATGTTACAAAAAACCATGAGGGCAGAAGCAGGACTTCTTTTAAGCTGGAACCAAGCATGCTTTGTATTTTCCTACAGAGCCCCTGGGAGGCTGGTTGTTTCAGAGTAAGAAACTCTGAGACATCGATATATGACTCTGGGGATCTGCACACAGGAGCGGAACACTCTGTGTATTTAAGATCAAGGCTGGTGTGCAGCTGCCATATATGTCATCCCAGACTTCAGCCTCTCATTCTGACAAACTATCCCTCTCCTTATCACTTCTTTTTCAGATGCAAGTGCCTGTGACAAGTGCCCTGAGGATTACTGGTCCAACGAGAACCATACGTCCTGCATCCCCAAGCAGATAGAGTTTCTCGCCTGGACTGAGCCCTTTGGGATTGCTCTGACTCTCTTTGCTGTGCTTGGAATTTTCCTGACTTCTTTTGTTCTGGGAGTCTTCACCAAATTTCGCAACACACCCATTGTCAAGGCCACAAACCGGGAACTATCCTACCTCCTCCTCTTTTCCTTGCTATGCTGCTTTTCCAGCTCATTGTTCTTCATTGGTGAGCCCCAGAATTGGACTTGTCGTCTGCGGCAGCCAGCTTTTGGCATCAGCTTTGTCCTCTGCATCTCCTGCATCCTGGTGAAAACCAACCGTGTCCTTCTTGTCTTCGAGGCAAAGATCCCCACGAGTCTCCATCGAAAGTGGTGGGGCCTCAACCTTCAGTTCCTCCTGGTCTTCTTGTGCACGTTTGTGCAGATTGTCATCTGTGTGATTTGGCTCTATACGGCCCCGCCATCCAGTTACCGAAACCATGAACTGGAGGATGAGATCATCTTCATCACCTGCCATGAAGGCTCCCTGATGGCCCTCGGCTTCCTCATTGGCTACACCTGCCTACTGGCGGCCATCTGTTTCTTCTTCGCCTTCAAGTCTCGAAAGCTGCCTGAGAATTTTAACGAGGCCAAGTTCATCACCTTCAGCATGCTGATATTCTTCATCGTGTGGATCTCCTTCATCCCTGCTTACGCCAGCACATACGGCAAGTTCGTGTCTGCTGTGGAGGTGATTGCAATACTGGCTGCCAGCTTTGGGCTTCTGGCCTGCATCTTCTTCAACAAAGTCTACATCATCCTCTTCAAGCCCTCCCGCAACACAATCGAGGAGGTGCGCTGCAGCACAGCTGCCCACGCTTTCAAAGTGGCTGCCAGGGCCACACTGAGACGGAGCAACGTGTCCCGCAAGCGCTCCAACAGCCTGGGGGGCTCCACCGGCTCCACCCCGTCCTCCTCCATCAGCAGCAAGAGCAACCACGAGGACCCTTTTCCTCTGCCAGCCTGTGCCGAGCGGCAGCGCCAGCAGCAGCGCGGGTGCAAGCAGAAAGTCAGCTTTGGGAGTGGAACGGTGACCCTGTCGCTGAGCTTCGAGGAGCCGCAGAAGAACGCCATGGCCAACAGGAACGCCAAGCGCCGGAACTCGCTGGAGGCCCAGAACAGTGACGACAGCCTGATGCGGCACCGCGCCCTGCTTCCCCTGCAGATCAATGAGCCCCTCGGGGCTGAGCCTGCCTTCCAGGCAGCTTCCAGCCCTGAGACCAGCTCGCAGGAGTCGGTGGTGGGAGACAACAAAGAAGAGGGACCAAGCCCTGAGGCGGAGCCTTCCCTGCCATCGGTTAACTCCCGAAATTTTATAGGCACTGGAGGTGGCTCTGTCACAGAGAACACAGTACATTCCTAACGAAAGAAGATTGCGAAAAGTACACCAGCCCCCAAGAGGAACTTGCTCACCTCTTGCTTCTGAACGGGAAAGGCAACAAAGACACTGCTGTGACACAGCCCCACCACACCTTAATGTTAGCGCCAGCAGGGTAGCACATGTGCCTCCAGAGGAAGGACTGTGTCTGGGGAGCCTTGGATTGAATTTGCATTTGCTTTATTGAAACCAGGACATCTCAGAAGGACAAATGAAGATTGCCTCTGGTGGGGCTTAAGCAGAAGTCTGCATGCTGCCTTGCCTCCGTAAGCTTTTCCTGCCAGACTGCAACACAGCTGACTATGGGAGGCACTAGGCAATTCCACTATACCCTGCTTTTACATTTATGTATAATATTCCTCTTTCCCACTATGTATGATATTCCCTCTTTATCCAGTATATGTGATCTGTAACCATGTGCATCAGGACTCTCAGCTCTACAAAAGCAAGGTACACGGTTTCACTTCAGGAAAGCACAGTCATGGGGAAAATAAAAAAGCCCCAACATCCTGCATGCTGTGTACAGCCAAGGGTGTGAACATGTAAAGTATTTAATGTGACAGAGCGCCCTGCTAATTTATATTTAGTAATGTCCCAGTCTCTCCTTTCTGCCCAACAAGAAATACTGGACAATACTCTCCGTAGGCTCCATTGCACTAGACCAAGCTATTTAGGTCCCTACTGGTTTCCTCCAGCTGGAATAGCTTTACCTCCAACCTGCCTGCTTTGGTGGAGGGGGAGAACAGCTTGTAAATCCCTCGCAGAGAACGCTGCAAAAGCACAATGAGATGTATCCCTGATTATGTCGCTAGTAGTTGTATGCTTAACCAAGTGTTGCTGCTGTACTATCCCACAAGGCATACATGGCTAACCCTTTCACACCATAGTCAGTGTTGTGCTTTGCCGTATTAATCTGCCTCACACCTACACGGAGCATTGCGACAGTCCTGGCGGTACTGCTGGGCCTGGCACAGCAGACGAAACAAGGAGAAATGGAGGAGTTAGGGATGGAGGAGGAGCCCCCAGCTGTGGTAATAGGATCAGTGGAGCAGGTGAATATCTGAAGTGTGCGTGCTGGTAGATGACTGGGTGAGAAAGACAGTCAGGCCTAGGTTCTTGGACACACATAGAGACAAATGGATGAACTGGATACAGTTTTGCTCCTAAAAGCCACCTACTAGGTTATTTCCCATTTTGAAGAGAGGGTACCTTCCACAAGAATGGTGGACTGTACCTAAAGAAAAACACAAAGGACGTCAGCAGAGAGCATAGCAGAACTTGGTTACTCTTGTCCCACTCTTCCTAAAGCAGACATAAGTGCTCCTGATTTTTCAAGGCATGCCTCGTTCTTTCTGATTCATGCTGGAAAAGTTGAAAAGAGTCATTAGCAGAGAGATTTGTTGCAGCCTGATGAGAGAAACAACCCCTGGACAGCCTGGTGGGAGGGGCTAGGGTTACACTGCAGAATTTCATTCCCTCTTCCCAGATTCCCTGTGGAAGAACAAACATCTGTCAGGAAGATGTCAGTGCCCTCCCTCATTAAGCATGAAGGCAGTCTAGACCTCTTACAGAAAGGTAGATGGGCCTGCAGCTCAGTGTGAGCAGAGACAAAAGGACTGTGTTCGAATGCACTGGGGGAAACACCACAATTCTCTTGTTACTGTTTTTGCTTGGTTGTTCTTCTGCCAGGGCAGGCAAATAAAACTTACAGGTGACATTACTGTATAAAAACTTTGTTTTGCCACCTCCACTTGTTGACAAAGAAGAGGAGTTTTGACTTACAGGAGCAAAGTGGAAGTCCAGAACTCCAAGAAGCAGGCTATTCAGACAAGTTGTTTTAACCCTTTTGTTGATCTGTTACATCCCCCTTGGAGTGGGCTCAAATTTTAACTACACCACATAAGAACCAACCCAACTATAACTGTAAGGCTTCCAAATGACAATATTTGATTTCAAGTCTGGCTCAGATGATTGGGGGAGAAAAAAAAAAGTGAGTTTGAAAACACAAATCCTTCTAGCCCAAATTTTGGAAAATACATTCTACCCCTGGAGCCAGTCAAGAGCTGCTGACTGCTTCTGAAACCTAGGTCCCTTCCCCAGGATGCTGACTGAGGCCCGTGGGCTCAGTTTAGGGTATGGAATTGAGCCCTGGGGTCTTCTGAGTCTAACTGCACAAACAGGGATGAGCACTAGATGGCAGAGAGGGCTAAAAAAAGGCCCTCTCTGCCTTTTTGCCTTGGTTATGGCCTACACTTCCAAAAATTCCAATAGCTGAGTGGTTTTAGTGCTACATGAATCATTCCTACTGGAGCAAACCCAGCTCAGCAGCCCCTGAAGTGAAGCTGACGGTACTGAAACATAAAAATTCAATGAGTGAAATGAAAACAACACAATTTACAAACCAAAGATTGTGTAAGAACACAGGAAATGTAAGAAACAGAAAGTCTCCATCAGCTGCCTTGTCTGGAGGGCAATATTCACTAGCTATGTATACAGTAGATGATATTGACCTTTGGGTGCTTTTCATTCCTTGGGTGTTATCCATTCTTTACTTAAAAGGAATTTATACCCTGGCACACAATGCATCATCAAGAGCTGCAATAATTTTTTAGCACGGCCAACTGTGCTGTATTTGCTGGGGAAGCCCCTTCCACCCTCCCTGCTCTCATATGTGGAGCCCTAAGCCTCCAGCTCCAATGCTGCATGAGAGCTGCTGCTGCAGCTGATAGCAGCCACACACAGGCTGGACACAAGGGCAGTTCACTAATAAAAGACCCCCTTGTGAAGGTGCTTTGTAACCAAACCCCTTTCCCCATGCACGGAGAGGGGGGATATGTTCTCATCCTGCCAAGTCCAGGAGGGCACCTGTCCCAAAGCCTGTCAGTGTATCACACATGACAACTGATGAAGCCACGCTGGGGAACATTCTTCTGTTGAAACCATGAGCCTGAGAACCTCCACTGATATTTCCTACCAGAAGATGCCCACATGAATGCCTCATCCCACCCAGCATGGCTCAAAAATCCCGTGGAAAGCTTGCCTCAGTGTGAGGTTTCCTTAACTGTCCAGCAGTGAAGCAACAACAGTGTATCTGCTCTCTGGTGGGATTTCCACTGGAAAACTTGGGAACCATCCCAGTGAAGAGCCCAACCCTTGATTCCCAGTCTCCTGACAAACCTGGCAGAACTCTGCCTACTCAAAGCCCCAGCAGAGAATTTATTTATAGATGATACCAGAGGAAAGAAAATTCCCCATTATATTTCATGCTAGTCACCGTGTCCTCCTTGTCAGCCCATGAGCTCTGTTCAATTTGCAATACCTGCTGTTATTAAATTTAGTTTATATTGACCAACTTTACCAAGGGGTGCTGCAAAGCAGGAGGAGGAAGGTAGGTGTTTGGTGTTGTTGTTGTTGGTTTTGCAGGAATCTGGATGTTTAAATTGTGGGGAAATTTAGGTAAAGACACGAACATTCAGACTAAAATCTCCGCAGGGATTTCCCAGAGGCTGGATAATTCACCACCGCCTTCAGCTTGCTGGCTGAGGAGCGGCAAAATCAGCCCGGGAGAGGGAATGATGAACGCGGTGAACGAGAAGCCTGGAGATGGACCTTTCCATGCAGCTAAGGGAACAGGCCGCTGCTGGTAAAGGCGGCACACGGGAAGGGAAAACAGCGGCTGAGGGCAGCCCTGTCCTCCCGCGGGGCTGTCATGGAGCCGCCGCTCGCTGAGGAGCGGCTGCAGCCCTTCTGTCCAGGGCGCAGAATAAATTCTGCCGCCAGCTTTCACTGCAAGTGCCGCTTCGGGCTGGTTTTGTCTTCAATCGGCCGCCGGGCCGCGATGGCCCCGCCGGGCAGCACTGACTCCCAGCCCGGCTGGGCGGAGCCATGCCCGGCCGCTCCCGCCCGCCGCCGCCGCCTCGGCCGCCGAGCCCCCGCCCGCGGAGCCAGCCCCGGGTCCGGTACCGCCCTCGACACCGCCCCGGCACGCCCGAGGATCAGGATCGGCCCGGAGCGGAGCGGAGCGGTGCCACCATGTTGTGCGGGGGTGCCTCGGCGGCCCGGCCCGCCACCGACGAGACGCAGCGGATCGCGGAGCAGGTGAGGGCCGGGCGCGCTCCGGGAGGATCCCGCAGGCCGGGAAAGGCCCGTGCAGGGCCAGACGGGGGCCAGGCTGTGCTCGGCCATTGCTCTGCGCGGCTGGGCAGAGACACCGCCCCCCAGTGAAAGGTGGAAGGAATGGGGAATGCACGGAGCAATCCCCGGCTCCCGGGGCTCTCCTTCCCTGCGCCCGCCTGGCGTGGCCCTGTTGGCTCCAGAGGGACCGTGGGCAGCGCTGGGTGCGCGGGGAAACGCGACGGAGCCATTGCCTTGAGCTCGGGGAACGAGCTCCTGTGCTCCTTACCGAATCTGTGCATACGTTTGGGGTTTTGGTTCTTTGTTGTTTGCCTGGGAAGGGGGGGATTGTTTGGTTTTTTTGGTTTTTTGGGTTTTTTTTTTGAGGGGGTGAAACGTAGAATAAGTAAGAAAGCTTCTTCGCTGCTTCTGCTTTTCCCCAACACAGAATTCAGCTCCAAGCACTGCCGGCTCCAAATCCTGATACTACTTGCAGTACCTGAGATTACTGCTCATGTTATTGGAGCACATGCTTTTACTCTAAAAATGCCATTGTGCAACTAAGTTCTTTCAAAGCACATGTTCTTCTTTTTGTCATGGAAACTCAAGTTCCTTCTGCTTTTTGGCTTTGTCGGCTAGGATGTGGTAAGCTGGGGAGCGAAGAGGAAGGATGCGCTCCAGCCTCTGATGCTTTGTCAATGCCTGGGCCTGTTCCCCGTGCAGGAGGAATTCCCAAACACATACAGAGCACCCAAAGGCACAGCAGCCACTGAAATTAACATTTAGCTTGTACAGTCTGAGGATTCTGTGTTTTAGGAAAAGGATTCTGTGTTTTAGATGTGCATCTCCTAAGCACCAGCCTGAGTTTGCAGTAATAAGAACATGATTGAGAATTGCTGAGAGTCACAATTATTGCTTTGACCTGAAAGGCCTACATGTCATGTTAAAGGTAATGCAGATATGCAATTAACATGGCTTAAAACTAGATTTGAAATCCTGACTTTCTGTTCTGTAGCACGCTGCAGTTGTTTGGTAATCCAAAAACAAAACCCTGTTGGATTCAGAAGTGAACAGAACTAACCAAAAATCTGATGTTTTCATCTAAATCGCCTAAATACTTTAAAATTTATCCAGCTTGTTTTGACTAACAGTTGAAATTACTTCCTTTAATGAAATACAGGTGGGAAAACCCAAACTTGAAGCTTGCCGATGTACTTATATCCTCATCTGGACGCTGCTGGAGAAAATACTAGTTTTGTTAAATCGAGGTAGCCTTCTCAAATAGCATTATTTGCTTAAAGTCAGATCTTTTTGGAGATTTATTACAGCCTGCCAGTTTGCTTGCCATAAACATATTGTCTGTTCCTGCTTTTCCAGTTCTTGCCTTCGTTTTACAGTTTCGTAAGAATCCTTGTGATGGCCGAATGCTGTTCAGTTTCGTGACCCACAGTGGATGTAGTGTCACACGGGGCAGGAAAGCTTCCTTTGGCAGCGTCTGGCTTGGTAATCCCATAGGAACAGCCTCCTCAAGGCAAGGATTTCCATCCAGGCCTGTTCAGCTTTGGCACCTCACTGGCAATGTGGCAGAGCTTATCCAGGGTCATTCTGAAATTCTGAACCATCTGCTTTTTAGTTAACTGCTCTGGCAGTGCAGGGCGAACAGGCCGTGCAGGGCAGTGGAGAGCCCTCAGAGCACGATCATTTCCAGCCCTGTGCCTGAATCATGGATTGTTTGGGTGGGAAGGGACTGCACCTCCTGCCTGAGCACAGGGTCAGCATCCTCAGGCTGCTCAGAGCTTTGTCCTGTCATGTCTTGAAACTTCCACGGATGGAAACTGCACAGCTTCTCTGAACACTCCTGCTGTACTGCAGGAAAAATGTTTCTCTTTATATCCAGTCTGAGCCTCCAGTTTCAGTTTGTGACCATTGTGTCTCATTCTTCTGGCATCTGGAAAGTTTCATCCCTGGAAAGACCCTGGTACTGGAAAGTTTTCTTCAAAGCCCTCTGAGCTGAGCTGAGCAAGCTCATTTTATTCCTCTCCTCACAGCACAAGTGCTCCAGCCATCCTGGTGTGCTCATGGAGTGCTCCTGGTGAGCCTTCACTGGGCTCACTACAGTTTATTGGTGTCTGGCTTGTACTGGGGGCCCAGAACTGGGCACAGGATTCCACATTTCCTAACAAAGGCCGAGTAAAGGGCAATAATCACTCGCCTGTCTTCTGGCTAGGCTCCTGCTGATGCAGCCCAGGATGCCATTAACTTTGGTACCACCAGGCCACAGTGCTGGCTCCTGTCCTCCAGGCTGGCTCCTGTCCTCCAGGACTCCCAAATCCAGACAGAGATCAAGAACCAGGTCTTTGGGAGAGTATTTCTGTCTGGGATCTCCCTCTGCACACTGACTCAGGATGCTGGTTTGTCACATGCTGTGGTGACTCACTGCCACAAACAAGTGGCAAGTTTGCAGCTGCAGGACTCTGAGCTGTCTGCACCCAGGGCCCAGTGTTCAGCTCGCTGGTGGAAATACAAAATGTGCTGAGCTGGGGTGATTTACTGACCTCAGAAACCAAAGCTGCCCAGTGCCTAGGATTGCTAATGGAGTACAGGACAGGATAGGGTCAGCAGGAGACTTATGTCTGCCCTGCTGCTTAAAATTTGTAAAAGTGTGATGAAAAACTGAAACCACTTGCTCCAACCTCCGACTGAGAAGGGGAGGAGGCAGGAGTGAATCGTGGTGCTTCTGGGGCTGTGCCCTTCAGTGCATCTTAGAATGCAGCTTGGATTTCCCTATGGCAAAAAACAAACAGGAGAGTGTCCAAACATCATTATCTTGCTTGTGACATGCTGATCATAACCTGGAGACACTGCAGAGGTATGGCCTCTGAGAGAGAAGGTAAAAAGCATGGACACAGCTCACAGGGACAGGATGGTCACTGAAAAGGTACCAGAGTTCTGGGAGCTGAGAGGTGTGAGAACACACCCTGTTGCAGGAATGGTTCTTCTGTTCCTGCTTCACCTACAGCAGCACTTGACCAGTGGCAAGTTGGCACTTGTTCTTCCCCAAGGAAGCCTGTGGGATTTAAGCAGGAGTGCAGATGTATCTATTTTCCTTGAATTTAGGGAGAAGGAGAGGTACACCATATAGCTGGAGAATCTGCTCATTGCTGGTACTACTGCCTTGGGAGTGAAGGGAGGGCTCTGCAGTGATGCAGTGCAGGAGGTGCAGCCTGGAGCAGGCAAGGACTTTCAAGCAAGAACTTCAAGACTAACTCATCTTGCCCTGCAAAACAAAGGCTGAAATCTGCTTTCCTGACCAAGTTTTTTCCATATAGCCACAATGTGCTACAGTGCCCGGTGCAGGAGAGAAGAGCTGCATCTCAGGAGTTCATGGCTCCCTCTTGGGTACTGGACAGGTTATTTTGACTTCTTGAGCACTGTTTTGCAGTTTGAAAACACAGATTCCAGCAGACATGCTGAAAGAACTGCCAAGTGTTTTCCAGATTTGGTGTCAGCCTGTAGTGATTGACTCCCACCTCCAACTCAGCTTTGCCACCTCCCTAGATTCCTGGTCCTGCTTTCACACAAAACTTAACATGATTCATTTTGATCTTTTAATGTCTTGGAAAAGCAGGGGAATTTCTGTGTTGGGGAATTCAGCAGAAGTGAACTGTAAGCCTGAAGTCCTAAATACTTGAATTTTGCATCATTCTTAAAGAACCTATTGTTTCCTTAAGGTAAAAGCTCAGCTAGAAGAAAAAGAAGGGAAAACCTTTGATGTCTTCACTGCAGTGGAGTTTAAAACTCAGCTGGTTGCTGGAACAAACTACTTCATCAAGGTAGAGGACACTGGGTTGTTTCTCTTATATTAATGTGTATAATCTTTGGAATGGTGGGGTTTTTTCCTTTCTGAACTGGAGGAAAATGCTTATGATTTGACCTTAATAAGAAAAAAAAAAATTGTGCATTAAAAAACCACAAATATCCACCTCCCAGTCCCTCTCCCTATCTGTTAAATACAGAGATCCTCTTTTCTCCATTTTCATGGGAAATTAGGTGGTATTTCTGCAAAGTCACGGCTCCTAGTCTGGTTTAAAACAAGCCAATGGTTTTTCTCGCTGCCTGTCAGCTGCTCCATCCTCAAACCAGCCCAGCCTCTGCCACCCCTCCTGCTGCAGGCTCCCCCTGCAGGGATCTCACTGGATTTCGTGCTTTGCAGGTCCATGTTGGGAATGAGGAGTTCATGCACCTGCGGGTGTTCAAGAGCCTCCCCCACGAGAATGAGCAGCTGAGCCTCCACAGTTACCAGGGCAGCAAGACAAAGCACGATGAACTGGCTTATTTCTAGCAACCTTCTCTGTGTTTCCCTGGTTGGTTCTTATGTGCATTTTCTACAGGCTGTAAAATGTTGATTCCTGCACCAACAAAGGCAGAAAAAAGTGGGTTTTTTTTAACATCATGGTGTGAAAAATCAATTTCTTTTATGCCATTCCCTTCCTGTGCAATCTCCAAACTGGAGAGTCACAGGGCTCTCCTATTACCTGCACTAATGTAAACCCTACTTTTATTGCAACTTAGGCTTTAGTGCAACTTAACAAGAATACTGTGGCTGAGTCCTGTTTGTGGACTTCCTTGGTCTGGAAATCGGAAGGGGAATGACACCAGAACTCATATATTTGCAGCAAGGAACAAGAGGAAAGCCTCGGTCTTTTCTGTGCTGTTTTGCAACTGTGAATATATGTGTAGATTTAAATTGTACTTTGTATTTTATGGGCAAAGACCTGATGAGAGACTCGAGCTGAAGCAATTTTGCAAGGAAGAGAAAGAGGCTTACAGCAGTTTGAGACAAACATTCCCTTGGTAATCATGCTCATCCTCTTGCAGCAGTAGCATGTAGTGTCCCATAGAGGGTGTGTGAGTTTAAAATACCAAACCAGCTTGCTAATGTTTTCGGTCCTATGGAAAAGTCCTGGAAAGGAACTTAAGCTGGACAAGCATTTCTGCATTTATAACAATAAACATTTCTTTTGACTTGAGATGGCATCTTTGACTGGTGCTTTAGTGTTCTCTTCTCTGGTTTTCACTATTGATTATCTTGCTCAGCTTTTTTTCCCTTAACTGTTTTTTATATCCAGATAACCTTATGTTTATTCTATATCTTAACTAAAAATACTTTATTTTAGTCTTGTGACAGATATGAAAGATAACAAGAAAGACATATGCAGGCATATCAGCAGCAAAAGGAAAATATGGACAGTAGCTTTCCAAACTTATTTTATTTTACTGTCACAAGCAGAATCCCCATAGGATTTGCAGAGGTGAGGCACTGCAACACACTGTCTTAGAAATAGGTCAGAGGGTCGTCTCTGGTTTTGCCAGTCTGAAAACTGACAAGGCTGGGACCTAGGTTCTCATGAGGAAGACTCTGGAACACCTTTAAGTGGACATATTCGGCATCTGAAACTTGGACCTAGAAACCAAAAGAGCGGGGAAGTGAGAATCAAGGGCAGGTTCAAACAAAAGGCTGTTCTTTACATTCTTGAAAGAACATCTTGACTCAGGATCTTAATTGCAGATGTGCCTTCATTTTTACTTCAACAGCTCTTATCCAAGTCTGGGCAGTAACTGCTGGCAGAAAATGTCTACACCTGTAGAAAACTATTAAAAACGCTCAGCCTCAGGTGAAGGGAAGATGAGCAGAACTGCTTGGGTGCGGAAGCAATAGGAGAAAGGTTTTGATGGTGTCCTATTTCAGTCACCAGGATGCCAGCACATTTGCTCACAGCTTCCTGACACACTCGTAGGAGATGAGACAATGAGGAAACCTCCGTGACTTGGGGGTGGGACACAGTGCAGACACCATGTCAGCTCCCAAGGGGTACAGAAAGATCTAGTACAGAAAGACCAGCACATGGTCCTGAGAAGCAATGACAACCTGAAAGCCAGGATCCCTGGTCTGCGGAGTTACTCCAAACACATCAGTGCCTGAACAGGGAACCTGACATATCCTGTGCTTTTGGGAGTGCATGGGAATGCCTGGAATAAATACTCTTCCAAAGAAATTCACCTTCCCCCCTAGAAAGTCCTCACATAAAGACTTGGTAGGAAGCTGTAAAATTTCATTCTTAAAGAGCCAAGCAAATAGTGCTAAACTCTCCCTTGGTGAGGGACATGGAAACTTTAATGCCTTAGGCTCCAAGAGGATTTTACATGCTTTCTGGTGGCTGCAGTGAGGCACTATGCTTGGTCTGGGTTGCATTTCAGCTGTAAGTCTGCAGGTAAAACATCAGTGAAGTGGAAGATTCAGTAATATAAAAGAATGCATCTTGTGATGGAGTTTGTTCCAGTTAATGCTAAAATGAGGATGTATTCCATCAGTGATGTTTTCCATCACTGGTAAAATTGGGAAAGAAGAGACAAATCATCCATTTCCAGTGTTGCAAATGGATTTCTGCTAAGTTCAGTAATAGATCAATCTTTGTTTCTGAGTTAAGAGTTCTTTTAAGGAAGCACCTGGGAAAGAAGAAGGTTTGGCAGCATCTGTCCTTCCTGGATCAACTAAGTATGAGAAGTGTGGAGCTAATGCTCACAGTGTCTCTGCAGAATTACTCTCCCCCAAACATTACAGGCCAATTCCTCTAATAAAAGAATTATTCCAGTTCCCTTGGAATATGACATACCCTGTCAGGCACATGCCCACACCCTTGTGGGGTTTCAGCAGTCACAGGCCATGCCTGCTCTGCTCCAGAAGTGCTTGCTGGCCTTCAGATGAATAACACACCCAGACATTTCTTCTGTGCTACTTCACAGAAAGCTGCTCACATCCATCGGTCAGGGTTTCCAGTAGAGGAGGAATGGTGCAATCAGAGGGCTCCAAATTAAGCATTACTCATTTTTCCTCTGGAGCAGAGAGGGGGTTTTGAAAATTCAGAAGGAAGCAGCAGGCAGGCTGTGTACCTCTGCAGCACCTGACACAGAACCAAAACATCAACACACCTGCTTGCATGCAAAACTAGTCAGCAGACATGTGTGCACTGCATCACAAAATTGATTCTCTCTTTCCATCAGTTCCTCAAGTTGACTTCAGTTTCATCCTAACAAACACAACTGAAGGACTCAGACACTATTTTGTCATGAAAGGAAACAGGAGACCAGTTATGACTTGCTGAAATAATTTGAGTTGGGAAGGTAATCTCTAGTCCTTGAGGGGGATGATCCCAAGAAGCTTACCAGTCACATCTGAATAAGCATAGGGCATGTTTTATAATATTTGTATTCCTGCTCACAGTAGTGCCAAACAGAGGAATTTTATAAGCATTTGGAGGTAGTCCCAACTTCTGTTACTCACATCAGACAGTTTTCTATGATGTTTGCTTCTCTTCCTAGCTTAAGCCACTCTGCAAGTCACCTGTAGCATTTAATTCCACAACACTCCCTCCTACAACATATACAAACCTTAATAAAGTACATTGTCCCAGCAACCACTTGAGTCTTATATGCTATGGCTGTAAAGACAGCACAGTTCACGTTTGCCTGGCTTTCAAACTGTGGCTTCACCTGTAAAAAGAAAGGGAAAAATGATTGGCAGGTTCATACTAAGGGATTTCTTTCACATATACCACTCCAATTTTCATCCTTCCACACATACTTCCTTAATGAAATGCCACAAAGTGACTGAGGGCACCCTCCAGCCCCTCATCCAAATCATCAATAAAGATATTACACAGGACTGGCCCCAACACTGAGCCCTGGGTGCACCACCTCTGCCCAGCCAGATGTAACCACCTCTCCCTGGGCCCTGCCATCCAGCCAGTGTTTTCACCCAGTGAGCAGTGCACCTGTCCAGGCTTCTTCAGAGGAATGCAGCAGGAACTGGAGTCAAAGGCTTTGCTAAGGTCCAGGGAGACAACATCCACAGCCTTTCCCTCACCCACTAGGCAGGTCATGGAAAGAGATCAGGTTGGTCAAGCAGAACCTGCCTTGCATGAACCCATCCTGGCTGGGCTTGAATCCCTGGTTGTCCTGCACATGCTGTGTGATGGCACTCAGTATGAGCTGTTCCTTGACCTTCCCTGGCACTGAGGTCAGCCTGACAGGTCTGTAGTTCTCTGGATCCTCCTTCCTGCCGTTCTTGTAGCCCTCCAGCCCCTCATCCAAATCATCAATAAAGATATTACACAGGACTGGCCCCAACACTGAGCCCTGGGTGCACCACCTCTGCCCAGCCAGATGTAACCACCTCTCCCTGGGCCCCACCATCCAGCGTTTTCACCCAGTGAGCAGTGCACCTGTCCAGGCTTCTTCAGAGGAATGCAGCAGGAACTGGAGTCAGAGGCTTTGCTAAGGTCCAGGGAGACAATATCCACAGCCTTTCCCTCACCCACTAGGCAGGTCATGGAAAGAGATCAGGTTGGTCAAGCAGAACCTGCCTTGCATGAACCCATCCTGGCTGGGCTTGAATCCCTGGTTGTCCTGCACATGCTGTGTGATGGCACTCAGTATGAGCTGTTCCTTGACCTTCCCTGGCACTGAGGTCAGCCTGACAGGTCTGTAGTTCCCTGGATCCTCCTTCCTGCCATTCTTGTAAATGTTCTTTTAGAGGGGCATCAAATTAGCCAAACTCCAGTTGTGTGAGACCTCCCTGGTTCACCGGGACCACTGGTAAATCACGGACAGTGGCTTGGAGAGCTCTTCCACGAGCTCCCTCAGTATCCTCAGGTGGATTCCATCCAGCCCCATAGACTTACACATGTTTAAGTGGAGAAGCAGGTCACTGTTTCCTGCTGGATCGTGGGAGCTTCATTGTGTTCCTTGTCTCTGTCTTACAGCTCAGGGAGCTGGGAGGAAAACTGGTCTGACTATTAATGATTGAAATCAAAAAGGCTTTAAGTACCTCATCCTTTTTTGTATTTTTTTGAGGCAGTGATTTCCTCAACATCCAGCAAATGATGAAGATTCTCCTTAGCCCTCTTTTTATTACTTATGTATTCATAAGAACACTTTTTGTCATTGGTTTTGGCAGTGACCAGAGTTAAGTTCTAACAGGGCTTTTGCCTTTCTGACTTTCTGCATAACCTCACAACACTTTGTAATCCTCCTGAATTGCCTGCCCCATCTTCCAAAGCTTATAAACTCTGTTTTTTACCCTGGGTTCCAGCCAAAACCCTCTGTTCAGCCAGTCCAGTCTTCCTCCCCACCTGCTTGTCTTTTGGCACATGGAGACACCCTGCTCTTGCACCTTTAGGATTTCCTGCTTGAAGAATGCCCAGCCTTCCTGGATCTCTTTGCCCTTCAGGACTGCCTCCCAAGGGACTCTTTCAACCAGTCTGCCAAACAGGCCAAAGTCTTCCCTCCACAAGTCCAAGGCAGTGGTTTTGCTATTGCCCCTCCTTACTTCTCCAAGAAATAAAAACTCTCCTATTTCATGATCACCGCACGAGCACCACACAGAAAGCAGACAGCCTCTCCTAGGCTGGGTGACGCGGTGCCCCTCTGCACATGACACCCACGCTGATGACCGGATGCATTACTGAGTTTGGGCAGAGGAGCAGCGTCAGTGCCAGCCTGCTCAGGCTGCCCTGGGCCGGGCCAGCAGCACCTCAGCACTTCTCACCACCCACCTGTTTCACAGGAACCCACTGAATTAATTAACTTTCCCTGTACAAGCATCTATAGCTGGCTGCCACTCCCATGACATTCCTTCCTAGCAGGAAGGCCACAGAAAAGCACCCAAGCAACATCCAGATCATTTCCTAAGAGCCAGACATTATCATCCTGTTCAGCTTCCTCATGATCTCTTACCCTGCTCTTCTGCTGAGTAGCTTCCACAGGGTTTCTGTCCCCAGGAACAGACAAGTATACTTTCAGCTGAGGAGCTGCTAACTCTGGTAAACCAGGGAAATTTTAATTCCCAACAACCTTCCAGCTGACCGGGGCTGGGGCCTCCTAGAACGCTCCTAAGTGGCAACTTTTGGTGCATGATATTCCTCTCTCAGAACAAAACAAAGCCACTTCTCTCCAGTTTTGCTCTCTCTCCTCTGGCCACTATTTCCCCCATTAGTTATTTACAGACTGAGCCTTCAGTAAAATCAAGAAGGCAAACAGCTCCTTAATCCTCAGGTGAAAAAATTAACATTCCTAAGTTCTTATCTAACAGCATCCTAAACCCAAAACACTCCTCAGTTTTGGGCAACAGCTGTGCAACAGGGAGACCAAATAAATAACATTCCTCAGCTCACTAATGATGGCTAGAGACAAGGCACAGGTATAAGTAAATAATTATGTAATCCCATGAGCAGACAGACCCTGAGCATCCCAAGTTCTGCAAACGCTCTTCACAGCTTCACTGAAATCATAGGAATTGCTTCTCTGCTCAGCATAAAAGCCCCCTAAAATTGCTTCATGAAAAGGTTACACATGCTGGAAGGATAGCAGATTTCCCCAGCATAAGGTTTCTATAAAAATATTTTCCTTAGAGAGCTATACCAAAGCCTCTGCAAAGGGGGAAAGGACCAGGAAGTGTTCTCTCTCCTGCTCTCAGCACAGGGCAGAAATTTCACCTTGCAGAAAATAAGAGCAATAAACAATCTGTTTTCATTTTCCTGAAGCTACTGAGAATAAAAGAACACTAAAATTAGGATCAGTCCTTTTCTGGAATCAAACAGAAACTTTGCACTATCCACATTTCAGATTCCATACGTGCCCTGTACTCTGGGAGCATTAGCACTGCCTGAAACCAGCATGCACATTTTCAAGTGCCTGTTTGCTCACGGACACCCAAGTGCTGTGGTTTCACCTCCAATACACACTGCAAGACTTCTGATGACCCATAAATAACACAGCCCAGCACTGAAAACGAAGCTCAGTATCTGGTATGGTGCTCCAGGCATTTCACAGACTCGTTAATTAAATTTCACAGCCCTCAGCTGGCCCCATCTTAAACATGAGGAAACAAGAATGGCAAATACACAAAGGTGCTGCAAGTCCCTTGCTAGGGTCACCCCTCCATAGGTAGAAGGGAATTTCTGCTCTCTGCAAATGCTGCTCCTTCAAACATTCCTGCCAGCATAGAAGGAACAGTGGTACTGCTCCCAAGTAATTCAGTCAGTGCCCCCCAAACAATTGCAGATCATCCACTTCTCTTTCTGCTCTGCAGTAAATCATCTCTGACTAACCCGTCACCCCAAACTCCAGCCCTTCCTCATGTACATGTCCCCAGCTCTGGTGACCCCAGCTGTGACTGACCAATAAAGCCCTATAATGGAAGAAGGCTCAGAGGAGCTGGGGAGGGTGATGTTCCACCCATGAAACTCGGGGAATAATGCAGGGTGTGACTGACCACAGCTTTTGCAAATAAGATGACTATCTCAACACAAAGGTTGATCACAGGGTGTTTTTTGATAAATAGCTCTGTCAGTAGAGGGGATCATGTGGTGATGTAACTCCCCGAGTTCATTAAGAGAAAGCAAACACACGCCTGAGTTAGCCAGACCAGCGTGGGGGAAGTGAACACATGGCTCTGCCCAATCCTGAGTATAAAAACTAAACGGCTGGAGGAAAGAATTTTGAAGAAAACTGCTGGCTAGAGCTGACTTCAACCCACACCCCCCTTCGCAGCCACTGAGGATTCCCAGTGTGGTGACACAGAGGGTGTTGTACACCGGGAGTGCAGAACATCCTGGTGTCCTCAGAGAACTGGGATTGCAGTCGCTACATTTTGCTAAGAGTAACTTAGACCTGTATCAAGTTACCAGCATATTTGTATCACTCTGGTAAATCGGACACCTCGTGTAACAAGGAGTGTCTTCTAATCAGTAAACTGAATGTTAAAGTAATTCCCTCCACCTGTGGACTACAGAAAAGAGCCCTGTCAGAGTACTGGGCTGCCTGGTCTCAACTGCAAGATCACAGAAGATGTGGAAGGATGCTGGTGCAAACTCTCCTTGGTGGCACGGCAAAGGAGAGAGCTGGGAGCCCTGCATTTCAGGTATAGTGAGTGCGCTGCAGTATTGGCCAATGCATTCAGCCCTGCTACTTCCAATTTTTGTTTCCTCAAAGAGTGCCTGAGTGCAATTGCCAGAGGGACAAGAGCTCATCTTTCAGAGGCAGAAGGGTGAAGACAATTGGGTGGGTAGGAACCCCTTTTATTCCTCAGGATGCATTTTATACTTTCTTTAAGAAGAGCTGCTGCACTGCAGGGCATTAGGGGATCTGCAGAGGTGCTGCTCACAGAGCTGCTCTAGTTCAGGACCACTGCCTGTAACCAACCACCTGACAACTGGGCTCACTTAGTGGCCTGCCTTGTCCCAAGCTCATCTTGACCCACCAGCAGCCCCTGTATCACAGCTGTGACTCCAGAAAACACATAATGCCAGCAGGGAACACAATTTAAAAGCTTTGTCCTGCATATATAATTCTTTACTGCATACCAGAATGTGGTTTGTCCTGTGCAGTCCTTCACTGAGGAATGAACTCCACCAGGTACAACCTCTTCCCTTCCAATATGCCACCTCTCATTTCAAACAAGTGACCTCACTGCTGGCATAGCAGAGCTGGGCTTGGAACTCCACACAGACATTAACTGAAGGTAGCCAGTACCATGCCTAGCCATGGACAAAGAGCAGACAGAGAAGTGGCTTGTCTCAGTCTCACCAAGGCACTTCCTACATAGAATGCTGAGAAAACACTACCAGTCAAGGGGATTCCCACTTTCAGCATGAGCCTCTTCAGTTTAAAACCTGGCTCAGTCTCCCTGGCTTTACACAAGCTTCAGGAATGGCCTCTTTGCACACAACTTAATCTAGAGAGAGGGTGCAACTCACCTGGTTAACAAGCTGCTGAACTTCTGGAGTGGCTGGCTTGGTGTCAGATAAGCCCCCAGGCATCATGTTGGCAGGTGACTTCTCTGAAATGATGAGTGGCTCTGAAGAGGGAAGTTCAGTGCAGTCTGAGCAGAGTCCCCAGGCATCTCACATATATACACACACACACACATGTGTCATGGAACCATGTGACCTGCAACACACGGAGCCTACCATTACTGAACTGGAGGAGACAAGCAGGGAAAAGAGGGGGAAAAGCAATGTAAAGCACTGGCAATGTTATTAATAAAAGTAAAAAGCACTTAAAGTAGTGTTTATGGTCTTCACATCCAAAAGAAAAGCAAATCCTCCAGTCACCCACATCTTAAAGAGAGTTGGTTTGGGCTGCAGCTGGAACCTCTTGCCTCCCCACCCATGTGCAGATGACTAGGCTGAGCTCTTGGGAAACTGATCAAAGACACACCCAGTATTTCCCAACACCTTTACTGATCACAGAAAAGGATGCAGCACTTTCCTTAGTGTAGGTCCCGTTTAACTTGAAATTTTATTTTCTCAATATCCTTCTAAGTGGGGAAATGGGAGCAGATGGCATCTTGCATTCAGCGACGTGACTTTCCTCTGCCTGACCAAAAAGGTGCCAAGGTAAACACCAGCAACAGAAGTAAAAAATAATTCAATCCCAGATTCAGGTAAGTACTGCAAATAAGGCATTTCTGCTTCTTTCCCATCAAAGCAAAAGCTGCATTCAGGCAATCATAATAGCAACTGAATGTGCAATAAAATCTACTTTTTAACTCCAGTGCCAATTTCCTGGAAGACAAAGTACAATCAAAAAACAGAAAAGCTATCCCATTTTCGACGTACGCTGTTGAACCAGATCACATGAGAACATACAGTCAGAAGTATTCATTCTGCAATTACAGTCACAGGGCACAGTCACATTCATGAATGTACAAAGCTCAAATCCTACTGGGGGAAGGCTAATAACTGCTAGCAGCCCTCCCTGGTAAGGGACAACTAACACTTCAAGACCACAGAAAAAAATTAGTCCCTGTCAATATTTCTGCCATCTCCCTCTCCAGCAAATATGAGGAATTTTGTTCCACAGCAAGGACCAGAGAAGCAGAAACAGACCAGAGACTTTTTGGTCCATAGGGGCAGGTACATGGGAGCAGGTGAAATGAGAATATATACTGCACACAGGCAATGGGCATTTCTGCTGGGATCAGCATTAGGGAATTTGCTGGGAAGAGGTGGGTTTATGGCCATAGCAACAAACTTATCTGTGTCCTACCCATACTACTGAACCTCCTCCTCACAGATAACAAATGATGCAAGACACTGTAAAAAGTGCTTCAGATCTCACTTCAAGGCCTGGTTTTGGTACAAATCCCCTGAGATTGAGAAACTGGGGCTGTAGGGACCCTACACTCAACAGTACTGATGAGTATTACAGCATGTTACTGAAAAAGATACTGCAGAATTTTCCAGACTTGAGCAGCAGTGTTATGGAAGTGGACAAAAAGCATTTAAGGAAAAATCAATTGTCCTGAGATAATATTTTTGTGAACAGAGAGAAAAATCCTTCCAGTTCTCAGGAATAAAGGGAGTGACAGCTCTTAAAACTGGAATTCTGCCACTTTCACCAGCTTCTCTCCAGATGAGGAGTTCCTCAGAGTCCTATTCATGGAGCTGATGACAACTCAAACCTTCTTTTGCATAAGACCCTGCTGATTCACTCAAATGCTGATCATGTTCCACCACCTGTGCCTTATTCATACAGCAGGACAGATAAATTAAGGAACTGGAAGAGCCAGTTCACCTTACTGAGGCCAGAAATCAAAGAATGTGTCCAACAACTGCACGGCACCAGTGCTAAAACAGGGCATTTTATAAACCTCTCCACTCACCAGGATACAGATCCTGCTAACTTCCTTGGGAAGGCATGTTAAGATTCCCCAGGGCAGCAGTACATTCCTGGAGAACTCCTGATTCTGTCTAGCAACAAATACACTGAACATAGGAGGGTTCATTTATAATCTTGGAAAGACTCTAGGTGTGAAATTAAAGATATTAATGTTGTGTGGAAGTCATCCACTGGACTCCCTACTTCTGGGTTTGCTGGTTTTTTACTTTAAAGCATAACAACTTTCTTTTTTTTTTTTTTTTTTTTTTTCCCAGAATGCACAGTTGTGCAGAAGGGGAAAAAAAAATCAAGACTAATTGTCAGCAAGTTGATGCGGAAGTTTACAGAGGCAAATCAGACTGTTTTCTTTCCACGGCAGTGCTAATGGCTGTCCCAAAATCCAGTGATATTTCTAAGACTGGGATGCAGTACTCCCAGTCTTAGAAATCCTGCACAAGTATTCAATGAAACCACTCTTAAGTGCTGACATTTCACAGACCTGCGATCAAAGATGACCAGAGGCAACTGATCAACCCTATCTGGGGCAACTCCCACCTCCACCCACCCCTCTCTACACTAAGTTTTGGATGCAATGAACCAGGATTTGGAACACTGCCTTGAAAAGAACAGCCACCCCCACACCACCTCTTGCACAACAAGGCGAGTGTGCCCCCTGCAGTGTTTGAGATGTGGCTGCTATCACGTACCAGGCCAGTGTACACTCTCCATCAGCACAACTGGCAGCTTCCCCCCACGTCACTGTGCTGCTGTTATCTTGGAGACTCTCTGCTGGGACACCACCACTGGCATTCTGTACAGCTTTGAAGCTGAGTAACATCTTGCACCAGGTAGTATTCCAACACAGAAGAAACAGATCTTTAGCACTTGCAGGCCACTACTCCCTGGTTCTGTTTCAGCAATTTTAAGAGTGCCAAGCTAGTGTTGATAAAAACACCAGTACAAAACAAAGCAAACAGAATAACCTCCACCAAAATCCAAACCCCAGGGTTATGTATTTACAAGTAATTTTTAAACCACGAATGAAGTCAGCTCTGTAGAAATGATTGTGAAAGCCAAGCCAGTAAGGTCAGTCTTCTGGTTTCCCAGTGACATGTAATTGTGGCTGGACATGACACATGGTCTGAATGTCTTTAAGAGCTCCTAGAGGAAAGCAGCCCTCCATGTACCAGCTGAAGATCTGTTCTCATCGTCACAGGATCAGCCACCTTGATTTTCAACATGCTGGTCTGCAAAAAAGGTTTCCCCTCCTGCTACCCATCCTGATTTTTCAAGATTTCTGACATCGTACATGGACAAGGATCAACAGAAACCTGACCTTCAGCAGCACAAAGTTATCATAACCCAGCCTATCCTGAGCCTCTTCCTCTCAGTCTGCCTCAAGACAACTGAAATCTACTGTTAAAAATATTCTATAAAGAAATTACCTGTTTCATCAGTCTTTCATGCCTACAGGCTGCAGAAGACAACAGCACTGAATGCTAGAAAAAGAACAACACCTCTTTCTATTTCACAGAAGGAAAGATGCTCAAGCTTGAGAAGACTTTCCAAGCATGTGGGATCTGCCCACCTCTATTCACCACTTGCAAGCAAAGGGAAAGCCCCAGTCGAGAAGGTAAGGCACGCACAGGACTCTGGACATGGCCATCAACTGTGCTCAAATGCCATTTGCAGCAGAAGAAGAAGAAACAGAAGTTAAAACCAGGGAAAGGATGAAATTCTGCTGTTTGTAGGGTCCACTGTTTGACCCCCATGTGACAGCAAACAGCCCAGTAATTTTGTAACTACCTCAACAGTAACATTGAAGCAAGGTTCAACCCCTGACTAAACACCATCCTGGAATCCTCAGGGGCCCCTAGACACAGAATTTACCTGCCTGTGTCCAGCGTGGCACACAGCTCACACCGATGCCATTTGCACACTTGCCAAACCCTCCCCCTCCACGTTCAGCTCCGAGGTTCTCAGGAACCAGCAGAGCCGCGTCCTCCTGCCCCGCGCCCGAAGTGTGGCATGCAATTCCATTTACTCACCGTGTGTTCCATCGAGTTCAACAGCAACTGAGCCACCTGACTGGCCGTGGACTACTGTAAGAGACACCCTCTGTGCTCAGAGCAAACTAAATAAAGCAATTCAATGTCTTACTGCAACCCTCTGTGTGCAAACACCCCAAGAAGGGATGCTGGGGATTTAGGAGTCTTCTCATGGTATCAGTTTTTCATACTCGGGTTTGTAAAGGACTATTTGCTTGGCCTTATATCCAAACTGAAATTAATTCTATGTTGGGCTGATTTTTTGGAGTTGTGGATTTTGGGGTTTTTTAGCATAGTTTCCTCATAACTAATTTAAAAAAAAAAAATCTGCGTATCACATCCATTTCACAGGTCATTTATCACAGCATCTGCTTAAGTGAAGAAGCTTTCCACAACAGCTGAGCAACCATCTGGGTAGATAAAGGAAGACAATTATTAATTCTCATTACATTCTAGTTTATGCAGAAATAAAAAACTACATTTCAAGACTATTGATCCAAGTCCATACACACTTATAGAAGTTTCTTTGTACAACTGACTTAAAAGGAGAATTTGTCCTTGCAGTTGATCCAAGCCCAGGAGAGAACAAATATTTCAGACACCTATACTAGAGGTCAATAATAAAGTACCAACTTTGAAATCAAAACTTACTGTTCTCAACATCTCATTAATTGACCATCATCTCCTGTTGAAATTTCATCAGTGCCAATTCAGCCCAGAGTGATGAGCAGTATTTGATTTACACTTTGATGATAAACAATTATAAGAATTTAACAAGTGAAGAACAAACACATTTTCTGCTTTCAGAGTTGCAGAAAAAGAATGAGAAATCTTCAAGAATGAGTGCTCCAACTCAAAGTTCTGCATAAAGCAGTTGCAGTACCTTGAGAAAAAAAGAGGGGGGAAAATGAAGTTTGAACATTAGGATTTACATCCTCAAAGACTTAAAATATATTTCTACCTCATTCTCAAAAAAAGGTGAGATGAAATGACCATGGTGCCTAAAAAGAAAAGGCCTCCAAGCAGTTTGAGTCTTTACTGCCTGAACAACTATAAAACAGATGCTGCTGCACAGATCTTTGCCAGCTCGCAGTAACACAGGTACATTCCTTCATTTATTTCCCACTTCCTATATATTCAAAGTTTTAGGGATGTGAAAGTATATCCAGTAATTTCATTGCTGTTGCTGAATTCCAAAATGTTTGCAAGACAGAGCCTGTATTTTTAAGGCTCTGTTTAAATTCAGTAGTTCTTAAGATCATATCAGCTGGCAACCACACAGACCCTGTCACTTGACTGTCAGCCTGAGATAAATACAAAATAAAAAGTAAAATATACAGGTGTAGTTGCAGCAATTCAGCTTTCCTCCTACTCATCTGCCTTTAAATGCTGTGTTACTGCAGCGGTGCTGCATTCAAGCTTTGTAAACACAACACCATGGCCAGGATCAGCAAGATCAGGTATGCACACCTGTTTCCTCAGCTCAAACACAATTCACCTTTAGAACTACTCTTAAATATTCAGAGGGAGGGACAAAAAAGAGACCCTGGACAGTCTCATTCCCAAATGAGACATGCCTTCAGCTCCAACCCAAAGTGGTTTTAATCGAGACCACATCCCCTATATAAAGGAAAACTCCAGAACATGGAAACGCACACCAAAGGGCAGTAAGCAACAGATGCTGCCTCTCAGCATTGCAGCACCAATGGCAAACCTGTACCCACACACAGCTCTGAGCTGCTCGTGTTGAGAAGTTCAGAACAAGGCTGGTAACTTCTTACTTTCAGAGATGCTGAACCTACTACACTGGCTGATCAGTCTGCAATTTTTATTTCTTTTCAGACTTCAGCAGATTATTTCCACAAAAAGACCATGTTCACTGATATTTTAGCAGATAGCAGCTCAGGGAGAGCCTTCTCCTCCCTGTTCAGGATAGGTTTTACTCTTTCTTCCCCTCTGGGATGACTGAAGCTGTGGAAGTTCAAGAAAGATGCCAGTTTTGCATTCCGATTGAAAATTGTTTTAATACTATAAAACTCATTTTTTCACATATTTTGTACAAAAGTTGAGTTGTTTTCTCTTAATTACAGGAGAATCATTTCAAGCTTGAGAATTCAGCTAAGTAGGTCCAAAACAAAACAAGACTGGGTTCTACTGGTTCTGGAGGGTCCCAATTCAGCTCACCCAAGGTCTCTTTCCAGTTTGGCTCTCACAGTTATGGACCACCTTGATGGAAAATACCCCACATCATCATTGACTCTTCGGAGGCTTGTAGTGAATTCGGCACCGCTCATTAAATACCTGAAACACCAAAACAGAAGAGCAAAAGTGAATCAACCCCATCCAGGAAATGAGCAGAACTTCACAGACAGTTCAGGCAACTACCTCAACTACCTGGGCACCCATCTCAAGCTGCCCAAGCTCTGAGATATCAATAAATGACACTTACCAAGACATCCATCTCCATTCACCTTCACTCCTGGCTTTAGTAAATCCAAAGTATGCAGCCTGATGTTGAGAAACTGCACAGCACTAAGTGTTCTCCCTCAGAAAATGCAGACTCTTAATCCTGGCAGGCTGTTACCATCAAAAATGCTGATGCCTTTTTGTTTTTAAAAGAGAGGGAAATAATCATGGGAAGGCTCCTGAATGGTTGTGTTCTGTTAGGTTCACTCTGGCTTTCAAATTTGGGTGCTGTATTCCTGTCTTTCCTGAGCAGGCACATTTTACATTGGCATGACAGCCAAGAAGAGAGGCAAGGGCTCCTGAAAGTCACGTGCACACTTCCAGTGCTCTGCCTGCCTGTGCCAATGCTGCCAGCACTCCCTGCAAAGGGCAGAGCACTCCTGCCTCACTCACCTCTGGCACCTTCTCTGGGTAAAATTTAGCCTCCAGAACTGGATACTGAGGATCGTGTATATTTAGCTTGAACTGCCGCCAGCCTGCCCTAAGGAGGGCCAAAAAACGTGACTGTTTAAAGTAAGGCAGCTTGAATCCAAAGCAAAACACACAGGCTCCCACCAAGGCTGCAAGTGCTCTTCACAAGCCATTTAGTTATTT